GGCGAGATATTACAGGAGCTTTGTCAGAGATTTCGCGACAATAGCGCGACCCTTAACCGCATTACTCAAAGGAGAAAATAGCACAGTCAGCAAACACATGTCCAAGAAAGTTGCGATTCAGTTCGGTGAAACGCAACGCAACGCATTCGACCGTCTGCGAAACATTTTGGCGTCAGAGGACGTCATCCTTACGTACCCTGATTTCAAACTACCCTTCGATCTAATTACCGATGCCTCAGCAAGTGGCATTGGTGCGGTTCTGTCCCAAAACGGCAGTCCAATCACAATGATATCGCGAACACTAAAAGATTGCGAATTAAACTACGCCACAAACGAAAGGGTTGGCAATTGTATGGGCTATAGGGAAGTTACAAAATTACTTATACGGTACCAAGGAAATGAGAATCTTTACCGATCACCAGCCCTTAACATTTGCTGTGTCGGATAGGAACACAAATGCCAAAATCAAAAGGTGGAAAGCCTTCATAGAGGAACATAACGCTAAGGTGTTCTATAAACCGGGCAAGGAAAACTTCGTGGCCGACGCCCTGTCCCGACAAAACATAAATAACCTACAAGAAGAGCCTCAGTCCGATGCTGCCACGGTGCACAGCGAGCTCTCTCTGTCTTACACAGTGAAAACCACGGATAAGCCCCTCAACTGTTTCAGAAACCAAATAATTCTGGAAGAATCTAGCCAGTCTCTACGGAGAAACTTCATAATTTTCGGCGGCAAAACCCGCCACATTATTCACTTTAACAATAAGGACTCACTAATTAAGTCAGTAAAGGAGGTGGTCAATTCCAACGTCGTGAATCCACTGTGATCTTCCGACTTTAGCTACCCTCCAACACGCTCTGGTGCTTGAGTTCGTAACGATATCACAGATGCAAGCGAGCAGGCGGAGATAATTACAACCGAACACAATCGCGCCCATAGGGCCGCCCAAGAAAATGTTAAACAGATCCTTAGGGACTACTATTTCCCGAAAATGACCAAACTTGCTAACGAAGTGATTATGAACTGCAAAGTCTGCACCAAGGCAAAGTATATCAGACACCAAAAAAAAAAACAAGAGCTGGGGTCACCCCTGTTCCGTCATACGTGGGAGAAATGCTACACATTGACATATTCTCCACAGACCAGAAACTTTTTTTGACCTCCATCGACAAATTCTCAAAGTTTGCCATCGTACAGCCCCTCTCTTCCAGGGCTATAGTCGAGGTACGAGCCCCCATTATAAAATTGATACATTTTTATCCGAATAACAGAACCATATATTGTGACAATGAGCCTTCCTTCAACTCCGAAACAATTACATCTTTGATTAAAAACCAATATGGCATCGACATCGTAAATGCACCCCCTCTTCATAGTAGCTCCAACGGGCAAGTAGAGAGATTTCACGGCACTTTGGCAGAGATAGCAAGGTGCATAAAAATCGACAAAAAGATTGAGAACACCTTCGAGCTAGTCATGCGCGCCACTGTAGCATACAACAGGACGCTACATTCGGTCATAGGCCAAAAGCCTGTAGAAGCAATCCATGTAAGCAACAACGATCTGAAGTTAGCGATTAGAACCAAAATTGACAATGTACAAAAGGCCAATATCGACAGGCTTAACATTTCGAGGCAGAACAGAGTCTTTGAAGTGGGCGAAAAGGTTTACCCAAGGAATAATAAAAGACTAGGGAACAAGCTAACCCGGCTGTACTCAGAAGAAAGTGTACAAGCGGACCTTGGAACGGCTGTTCTAATTAGGGGGAGGGTGGTCCATAAGGACAATCTGAAATAATCAAAACTTTTCGTATGCGATTACTACAGAGCAAAGTTATCATTCCCGCAGGAAAACTGCGCTCGCGAAGTACACGCCGGCGGGTCTGCTTCATGCCGCACGCAACCCCGCCACCTGGCCAACACCATCCTGTTGCATCAATCCTGAGTAGTTGGACGATGGCATAATCATCATAAATGGGCAGCGAGCAACGATCAGCGTTGACAATGGACCCCTAATGACGACAAGAGGGGCCAACCTTATCACGTTCGAAGATAGAACCGTGATCAACAGCACCCTGGTCTTAAACTTCAACAAAGCATTAAGGAAAGTTCCAGGCATCGTAGCTTCGCCTTTGCTGTCCATAACGGGTCACGATGAAGTCCTAAGCCTACCACTACTACAATCGATGAAGGAGCACAATCAAAGGGTCATCCAAGAAGCGACATGACATCCGGTGGGTCTCCCAAGACCTGGTTTATTGCAGGAGTGGCGGCTAGCCTCATGCTCTGTGGCCTTACCCTGTTGCATCAATGCTGGAGTCGGAGAAACTCCTCAATAAAGATGCGAATGTTCATGTGCCACCCTAACTTAGCGCATAAGAAATACGAATTATCATGGGCCGCCTTAACTTATCCAGTCTGATACTGATTGGGCGCCAGCGATCGCATGATTTTGTTTTGTGCGCGGGCGGCTCTTATCTCTTTTGTTCGCTGCCGGCTCGCCAGCTAAGTTTCGGTTTAGGTTTAGAAGTAAGCTTCAGTTTAGAATTGGAAGAATAAATGAACGGAGCGTTCATATCAACTCCGACACGAGTCGTAAAACGTGTATTAATATAATTATATTGTTGAGCCTTAAGGGCCAACGAAATAGATGGCAGTTACCTTCTCAACATAATCTTCTGTAGAAGACTCAGTTGCCAACCGCAACCACCGTCCCCCGCTATAAGAGCGGGCCTTGGGAACCCGATCGCTGCCACCGGAGCCAACGCAACGCATACCGCAGCTCGGACCATTACGACATAAAGATAATTTATATATACTATGTGGGATCGGAAACGTTTCCTTCTCTGCGTTACATACAAATACCATATACCCTATTTACCACTAAGATACTGACGATACTATGACTGTGAGAAATACTGTGACGCGTATGAAGCGTCTCACAACCGATATTAATCGTTTTTGTGCTGGCTTTTTGCCTTTAGCAAACAAACACTAATAAGAATACTACATATTATATTTATATTTACAATTTAAAGAATGAAACATGATACATTTTTTATGAGTTAAATATGTACTATGTATATACATACATACATATGTGAACAAAATGCTGTAATGTAGGTGGAGTATCTTCAAGGTCACTAAAATAACTGCAACATCTTTGTGAGGAGCTTATTGGGTGCATTATTAATACAAATGTTGACTACTGTTTTAGTTGCTAATTTGTGCAACATTTTTGGAAACATTTCAGTTAGCATATGTGTGCGAATTTCACGCTTCGATTCAATTAAAGATTGAAAATAACAAATATTACTTTCACACATATGTAAAGGCATCAGAACAAACAAACCAATCTATATTGGCATTACTCTGTCACATGCTTCATGTAAAAGCAGCATTAATCACCCCGGTGTACCAGGGACTAAAGTGAAAGCTGGAATCCAATTGAAGACGAACTGAAGTGGGAATTGGCCCTATGCGTGAATATGCATAATTTCCATTGGCATTGCTTATTGTCAATTTAATTAACCTTTATGAATATGTAATTAGTTTTTTAAATCCAATTCATTTTGCATGAATAAATAAAAATTCATTGGAATGGTAACAAAAATATTATCGTTTCAATTGAACCAATATATGAATGTGCCGACAATGAGTAAATAGAGTATACTTTATTTGTCGGGAAAATATGTAACACAATGAAGGAAGCTTTCCGACCCCACAAAGTATATATATTCTTGATCAGTATCAATAGCCGAGTCGATCTAGCCATCACTGTCTCATCATTGCTCCCCACTGTATATGACAGATGAAGAAAAAATGTAAAATTTGACAAAAAACCGCTACGGTATTGATGTGGTACTGAGTACCGGGTATAAAAGTTGTCACACATTTTAAGAATTTAAAAAAACTGTCATTTGCTTGTTAATATTTTGTCAGAGGTAGCGGTTTGATTTTTTATATATGTTAGTAAAGTATCTTAGATTTAGTTGTAAAGAAAATTGCAATTCTGAAAAGTAAATTATGCACCTAAAAATGAGAGCTGTGTGGCTTTAGCCTACCGTCTGGGAAATATTAAGCTTTGAAATTAAACAATTCTGATTTTTGTGAAGTATTTGTTACGAAATTTCGATTTTGAAAACTTAGGAAATAAATTATATCCTGTATCCTTTAGTTTTTTGTGTACAGGTGATTTATTTTGGGGTCGTTAAAGGTACTGCTCATCTAAATATGTGTGAAGACGGCAGAGATGAAATAACCCTATAAAACTGAAAAACCTCAAAAATATTAACGCTTGTGTTCTGATCCAACTGACAGAGTATTTCTGGCTTCAGTACTCACACAAACAACTGAAAGAATGAGGACGTGTGAGACGCTTCTTACGCGTCACAACCTATATGCCCGTTACTAAGTCAGTGGTTTTTTTTTATCTTACATTTTACATTTTTTTGCATACGTCATCTACATTTACATCACTTTTCACGCCAAGTGATGTGCCCTCCCCTAGAGCCACACACTTCACGAAGCAGAGTGAATAATGAAAGAATGTGCAGAAAATAAACAAAGCTGCTGGACGGGGTGGGGGTAGCCAATGAAAATTAATTTATTCATTCTGGCTATAATAATGATCCAATCTGATTCCGATTCGGCGAACTGAAAGATATGGTTATTAACTACAAATGACGTTTTTAGATTTTTCTTATCTTCACAATTGTGGATACAGCAGATTTTCGAACTTTGTGGGGCGTGGCTAATTTTTGAAATAGTGCTAGTCGTAAGACAGATCTGATTGAGTTTCACTGAGTTATAAGATAGCGAGCTAATATTTTAGACTTCATAAGTGCTTTAATGAATAATGAGTATTGATTGATAGAAGATTATTGAATTATGAAATATGTTTATGATCCATGGCCTATTGATGCGTATTAAAGATTTTTGCTGATCACACATTTGAATACGTAAACACCAAACCCCCAACCCCCCCCCCCACGACTTACATGAATTTTTCCACTGCTGGAACTTGTGATAGACAAAGCACGCACAGATGAAAAAAATCACGAACACGATGAGAAGAGTCAAAATAACACCAATCCAGATATCGCTAACAACATGGGCAAAGTCCTGGCCATCATCACCAGTATAGATTCTCGATCCATGAGCTATATGTGGCGGCGGGGCCCGCGCAGCTGGCAACACATCGCTAAAAAGCAAATTATCGGTCATATCGGTGGCGCCTTCACTCAGATTGATCTCGACCTCCTGGCGGTCGATGGTGAAGTTGCCCAAAGCAGAATCAAGACCCAGAGCCAGCTGTTCGAGCTTATTGATAAGAATTGAGTAGTTGCCAGGCAGATCAAAACCGCTAAGATCCAACTTCTCACCGCTGCTAGCCATTGTTACATTAAAGGCAGTTGTGGCATTGATACTTTCCGGCAGTGTGGTAGTGGTGGTCGAACTTGGGGCGGCCGCAACCGATGGAGACTCATGACTGGTGTCCTCCAGGCCCGCCAGCAGGGTTCCCGTGAAGTTCAGAGCTTTCAGTAGATCGGCCATGTCGGAGAACCTTCGGATTAAGTTTGAATTAGATTTATTTTCGTCTCGCGTTTCATTCGCTTCTCAGCCGCGACGCTGGAGCTTCATTTCATGACTGAAAGCACTCGACGAGTATAGCGTTGCAAATTCTGTGGCGAATATTATTGGTACTGTCGGTTGGCATATCGATTTTTTTATTTGATCTGTTTTTTCCAGCTTAATGTAATTTTTCACTATTGTGCTAATTGTGTTAACGCTTCGGTGTTAATCTGTTTTACGCATCTCACGCTAATCCGCACGGATTTTGTACAATGTTGTAGTCCGCAGACATCGTTTCTGTTCCTCACAGCCCGCTCCGCCGTGGTTATTGCTAATTTAATTTTCAAATATTGATTATTGCGTTTAAAGCTGGGTTAAAAACGTATGAATCTCCTTCTTTATATCTCCGTACAAGTACATACATACATATGTATATGAGTTCGATTTATTGATTTGCCAAGTGGAAAAAAGGGAAAACATTTGTCATGCCTCTGCGCTTTGCTCTGATTCACTTAATCTGTGCCACTCCGGGCTGTAAAATCGTCGAGTGTTTGCCACGCTAATTCCCGATGGCACCTAAGGTTCATTTATGCCATGAGAGCACACGTGATGATTGTCGTTTTATTTTCAAGTGAAGTTCTTTCTGACTGAGAGATGAGATTCTGATTTTATTACGATATAGTTTTGATTTTTTGTTTGGTTCAAGCTTACTAAGTTCTCTATAAATCTTAATAATGTGTTTAAATTTCCAACGAGTCAAAACGAGGGTCGCGGAGGTTCATATTTTGGGAGAATACCTGGACAATTCCAAGTCCCATTATTCCAATTCCATTTACAATCGCTCGTGTTCTATTTAAATATAGACAATTAGGCCAATTGTTAATGCCATTTATACAACATTCATTAAAACGATGGGAGGCTCATTTCCCATATCAGATATATAGAGTCTGGGTTAAATAACAATGGGCCTCCCATCGTTTTAATGAATGCGCATTATGTATTTATAAGTATGTGTATGTGAATAGATAGTATGTATAGGTATTTATAGTATAGGGTGCAACTATGGAATAAATCAAGTGTAAAATATCAAGTTTTCAATGCCTTCAATGTATACAAAATAAGTGGATTCTGGGCTGAGTGGCTGGAAAACAAGTCTGGACTCTTCTCTGATACTATCGTTAAGCGAAAAATAAATAGCAAGTTGAAGAAACCCTTTTAATTAATATCAACCCGCTTGACTTGTTTGATTTTAAAACGATGAATATTTGAATTATTTGATCAACTGATATCTTTTTATCAAACATATCAAAGCACGATTTGAATGGTCAGCATTATAGAATCCTATAATTGTATCTCCCCTTCTTCAGTTTGCATACTTCAAACATTGCTATTTCCAACTCCCAGAATTTATTTAAGTTTAAAGACACGTCCGTTCAACTTTCAAAAGATAAAACACATTTCAGTAAATTTAGCAAACTAAAATTCTCTTCTTGGGACTTACTGATATAGGAGAATTAAAACCAACTAGTCAAAAAACGATTTCAGTCGACTGCTACATCTGCGACTGGGCCGGCGAGTTCCGTGTCTATCTAGAACACCGCGAAAAATTCGATTATTGAATGACTGACTGGCGCAAATAACTTAGTGATTGTAGCCAACGGGGTCTAGATGATGTAAAGACGTCGTTAAGAAAATAAACTGAATGAAATAGTCGATGGTCCCAGATGCCTTCCTCGATCCTTGATCCTTGATGACCCAGTATCTTGTTGCAAATTAAAAATTAAATACGCTAACTTCTCATACATTTTGAAAATCAGTTCGTTTTGATTTGAACTGTTATAATTTGCACGACCCTTAAGTAAATAGCGACAGGGCAGGATAAAGCGATGCGCTTTTCATCGCAGATTATAATTATATCCGGTACTCGAAGAGTAAATAGGGTATATTGTATTTGTGTGAATAACGGTTGTATGTAACGCACAGAAGGAAGCGTTTCTGACCCCATAAAGTATATATATTCTTGATCAGCAACAATAGCCGAGTCGATAGAGCCATGTCTGTCTGTCCGTCTCTCCGTCTTGTTTGTCGGCTAGTTCTCAGAGACTATAAGAGCTAGAGCCACCAAATGTTGGCTCCGGACTGCTGTATGCTCACACTGAAACCAGTGTATTTCAAAAATGAGACACGCCCCTTTCCGCCCCCGCAAAAGGGCGAAAACCTCCCAAATCTACTGTTTTGAAGATAAAAGAAAACTAAAAACGCCATTCCGTAGGAAATGGCCATATCTATCAGATCACCAATCCGGGGATCCGATCGGATCATTATTATTTATTTATTTATATTATCTATAATCTATAAACTATTCTCCACAATGTAGAAATTAATTTCCAGTGGCTAAACCCACCCGTGTCCCACAGCTTTTGTTGCTCTTTTTACTTGCTTTAACTTGCTTTGCTTTAACTCTCATTCACAGATCCAGGCGCTCAACAAGACGGACGGACAGACGGACGGACAGACAGACATGGCTCAATCGACTCGGCTATTGATGCTGATCAAGAATATATATACTTACTTTATGGGATCAGAAACGTTTCCTTCTGTGTGTTACATACATTCACTTTGTGCACAAATACAATATACCCTATTTACTCTTCGAGTACCGGGTAAAAAAAAAAAAAATATCAAAATAAAGCGTGAAAATCTATCTACTCTAAGATGAAGTTTGATTTACAACATATTGTAGCTGTTATCTCTAGTTGTTTCAATATTCGATTTGCGACTTCAGGGGATTTTCTATGACAGTACTGATACAACATTCAAGACATAGCTAAGACAGGTAAGCAAACAAAGGTGCGAATGGTAGGGTGATACATATGTACATACCTACATTTGTATGTATATGTGGAAGCTTATATTTAATGAGTTATAATACTCTCTCTTACATTATTATATTATATTATAGCCTCCACTAACTCCCTTCCTCTTCTAAAATCTCCTATCCTAGCCTACCTCTCCGTTAGTTAGTTTCATTTTATTTTTGTTTTGTTTCTGATTTTGTTAATTTTGCTTGCTTAGCTCTTTTAGTTGTGTTTAGCTCTAATTATACCCGGAACTCGAAGAGTAAATAGGGTTTTGTATTTGTGCATAAAGTGGATGCATGTAACGCACAGAAAGAAACGTTTCCGACCCCATAAATGCAGTCATTGCATAACAACGTCCATATGTTTATTGGGTAGATATTTAATATGTAATGTCTTTCTCACCTAAGCTTTTCTTTAACACGATCAAACGGCTTATTAATATAAGCCAAGACCACCCTTGTTGATAGTAATCGCAACAATGTTTATCCATGCCAACAGTTGCGGCTGTTCGACACTCCGTGGACAACGATTGTTTATTCCTGTAAACCAAATCTCCTTGTCCCCATTCATCTGACTCCGATGGAAGGGAAAATTTTGATTTTTATACCCGGTACTCAAAGAGTAAGAAGGGTGTATTGTACATGTGGTGGGAGCAATGTGAGGGGCCCCCTTCCTCCCAGTACTATATAGTGCATAAGTCGATGATGTGCATGCCTTTGTTAATATATAATAAAACAATGCCAGCTCGACAGCTCGAAGAGGTTATTCTCTTGCTCAGTTCCAGATATACAAATCTTTGGGGAACAGTTAAAGAATATGTTTCCAAAACGAAATCAAGAAAAAAGATTTATATTTGGGGGTTCTGCTAGATTTGTGGAGATGAATCACCCAGGAAAGATGCGAAAGTAGGGTTACCTTATATGACAAAAATCTGAGCTTTTTTTGTTTCTGCCAAAAGCTTTACAACAAAATATTAACCTTTCAATACAACTATTGAACTTTTATGAAATTAGTGCTATTTTTATTGTCTCCCAAACAGTTCCTTTTTTGAAATATTTCCAGCTGCCTTTAAACCTTAATTCTACTACATATTGCCGAGGAATTGTATGCGTTCTGTCAAGTCGTGATGTTTTTACCAAAACCACAACACCTCCCAATATACATAAATCAGAATTTTCTAGATTTTCTTCAACTGTGAGTCCTCTGGAGCAACAATCAATCATAATTCTTTCTTAGTTTGTCAAGAAACGACGCTTCACCTAGAGTTCGAAGTAGCCGTTGTCTGTTATCGCAATGCAGTCAGGCTTGCCAGCATATCAGCAAAGTTTCAACAAATGCCGTTGACTTTTATTAGGAGGCAGATTGGCAGATTGCTTTTGGTTTCGGTCGAACCGAGCATAAAGTTGAAGAAAATTAAGCACCAGTACAAATAGCAACAATAGCGAAGGACGAAAATTGATAAGAGTGGACACGGCACTCCCACACCGACAGAACTGAGCACATATTTAAAAGAAGAAAGCCCAGAGCCAGAGTAGGGCAGACATGCACTGCCAATGGAGGAACTCCCCGTTGTGTACTGACCTTGAAACGTTGCGTGCCTGCATGAAAGCCCGATAACGCTGCCATTATATAAAAGAACTCCCCAGAACGCTCCAGCCTTACTTGCACACAGCCGCCAAAAAGTATATAAGAGTATCTATGCGAGTGGTGAAGATAGAGTAGTCGTGCTGAACGCGTTGACATGTGCAAAAATGATTGTCGTCTGGCTTCACTGAACATAAGCAAGCACATGCAAGCACACAGATGCATGCACACTCGGAAAGGATACGACATGGATTTTTTTTTATACTGTAAACCTGATACTATTTTTCGGCAGGCATTTCTTTATTTGGCTGCCCAAACTATTAATTCATTTACATACACACATACATTCAAACATATTGTATTCAAGTTGATTGGAGTAACGACTAGTAGAAGAAGAGAGAATGGGTCATGAACATATCTAAATATTGTTAAAGAAGGTAACATACTTTTAAGGATTTTTTTACTCAAGGTTTTGAATTTTTATACCCGGTACTCGAAAAGTTAAGGAGTATTTGTATTTGTGGTCCAAAAATGTAACACACAGAAGGAAAAGTTTCCGACCCTATAGCATCACACTTAAATTTCGACCTACCCCTTTCCACCCTCAAAAAGGTCGTAAATATCCAAAAGCCAAATTTGAAGATAAGAGAAAACTAAAAACGCCTTGCCGTATATAATAAATAGCCTTATCTATCTTTCTGGTATTTCCTATTTTGCATCCAGACTTCTGTATGCTCACACTGTTACAAGTGTATTTAAAAAATGAACCCCGCCCCCTTTCGCCC